GGTGGACTTCAACTCCCAGAATTCCCCAGCTGGCTGGGGAATTCTGGGAGTTGAAGTCCACGCCTCTGAGAGCAGCCAAGGTTGAGAAACACTGGGCTAGCCAAACACTTGTCCTTATTTGCAGCTGGATAGGGAGATCTGTTTTGTTTTCTGTTTTCTTTCTTTTTCCCCAAACAGGTGAACTTACCAAGCTGCACATCTTTGGGAAATGGCACGACATCCCAAGGAAGCAGGTGACCTACGGGGATGCTGGGCTAACCTACACTTACTCCGGTGTCACCTTTTCACCCAAGCCGTGGATTCCGGTGCTGAATCGCATCAGGGACCGTGTTCGGCTGGTCACTGGGCATACCTTCAATTTTGTTTTGATAAACAGGTAATTCCTGAGGGTATTTTGGGTGGCAGTAAGCCCCAGATCGGTTTGATGCACTTTTCTTTCTGGAAACCTGGGGATTTTTGGTGTCTCCAGCTGCCACTTGCCACATCCAGCAGACAGATCTAGCATCTTTCCTTGTGCCTCTGCAGGTATAAAGATGGCCATGATCACATAGGAGAGCACAGGGATGATGAGAGCGAGCTGGTTCCTCGCAGCCCCATTGCCTCCGTGTCCTTTGGTGCCCGCAGGGACTTTATCTTCCGCCACGGGGCTTCTCGTGGCAAAAACCCCTCCCGCCAAATTGGGCCAGTCAAGTTGCAGCTGGATCATGGCAGTCTGCTGATGATGAACTTTCCAACCAACCATTACTGGTACCACAGCCTGCCCAGCCGCAAGAAGGTGCTGGCTCCCAGGATCAATCTAACCTTTCGGAAAATCAGGACTCTTTAGCTCCTGGGGGCGGGGGGGCAAGCATCTTTTCCTCCTCTCCCTTTTGGTCACTTGAAGGAACACCTTATTTCTCATGGGCTGCAGCACCAAGCGTGGCAGGGGTTTGCTGGTCCCTCTTCTTGAACCAAAGATATCCAGACTCAGAATTGGGCTGTTTGACTACAAGTGGCTCTGCTTGCATGACCTGATGCATCCCCTGGCTACTGGGGTCTCTAACGAAACCATATATGTGGCTGTGGTTTGCCACAGATGCATTCATTCACAAATCAGCCAGTCACACTTTACCTTGGATGGCTGCGTGAACCTGGCCCATGGCAGAGTGTATCCTGTGAACCAAGAAAATTGGGTTAACTGAATAAGCTTATGGGGAAGCACATAGCACAAACATAAGCATGCATTTTGGGAATACCTTAGTCTGCATGCTGGTTAAGGAGCGGATCAAGATTCATGGCCCTTCTCTAAGACAGCACTAGAGTAGTGGAAGTGTGGAGGGATGGAGGAACGTTATTTTCCTGAGGAATGGTGGGACAGAGCTTGTCCTGAGTCAAGGAAAGTGTCTCTGTACCGAGGTTGCTCCAAATGCAGGCATGCTTCTGCCCTGGGGGCAGCTATGTCCTGGAGATCCCCAAGCTTGGAGCCAGGGAGGGACTTGGGTGTTCCCAGGGCCTATACGTGCTTTGCTCCACTCATGTTTCTGCTCAAACAAATTTGGGCAGGGGTGAATCTACAAGCAACAGGCATGAGGTCTACGAACTACTGTGTTTTTTTTGTTTTATATAACCTGAAATAAATAAAAAGCAATCATTTGTTCTCTATGCATGCTAGATTTCCTGTACATCCGTTCTTCCCTCTGAGCTTCATTTCTATTTGACAGCCATTGTGAAAAGAGACAAGCGCGCAGAAAGGAGGGGATGCAGGGAGGGATCCCGCCCTCCTCCTCTTTTGCCCATTGCCAAACTCCATCCAAGAAAGGCTACCCTAAGCAGTCTCTTGGAAGGGCTTAGGGTCACCTAAGGCTGGCAAAAAGCTGGGCATGGCATCAGGGAAAACAAGGACAGAGCCCGGCTTTTGCTTCTGAGCTGACAAGCTGTGTGTTTGTCATCAGGGCTGGGCTGCTGACTTAACAGGGTACACAGCTTGGGTAGTTGGCACACCGTCACCTAGCTTTGATTCCACAAAGACCAGAAAAGGATTTTTCCCTCTCTCTCTCTCACAGACACACACAGATACTTGGTCTAAGTACAGTCGGTATTTTAGCAGCAGTTTTATCATGTACAAAATATTTTAAATCTGGTAGCAGAATTACCAAGGAATAGGAAACATGGTTCCTTTCGTTGCCGAAGGAGAACCTGATAAGAATTCTGATGTAATTGTTGCATAATTACAACAGACTTGTCAGTACAGAGGTATCAGCTGCTTTCTGGGAAGCACCTTGAGCCCCCAATCAGAAATCCAAGCACTCCTCTGCCCCACTGGCTTCCCCTGGAAGTTCAGAGCACCGGCCACATATAAGCAATCCTCTTGTTTTCACGTCGCCACAGCTGGTACTCCTCGGTTTTAAAATAAGATCAAGGCACTTAAAGAGTCTTTTTCACCCTCCCTTCTCAATGCGATAGGTTGCTCATCTGACTTAATCTGCCACAGATGTGAAATGTTTTTAAAAGACTGGCAGTAAATCAATCACAACAAATGAAGCAGAGGTAAAAGTCACAAGTGAGAAGAACCTAAGAGGTCTCTACTTGAAATTCCTGGAGCGGGAAATATTCCCGAGCACACGAAGACTTCTGACGTGGGTGAAAATCATACACACAATGCTAAGAGCAACTTTGGGCAGGGTCGCTCAGCTGGGTCCTGTCGAGAAGCACCCCCTCCATTTCATCCTGGGGTGTCCATGGCGACCCAGACACTGTGTTCTTGCCCCGGAGAAGGGTAGCAGCTACACCAGCACAGCCTGGTCGCCTCTTATCATTCCTCGGCTTGGAATTCTCGGCTTGGACGCTGCAGCCTGGAGCAGATGCGCTCGTAAAAGAGCAGGTAGGCGCTCGAAGACAGGACCTCTTGCAGGGTGCTCTTGCGCACCAAGTCATCTGAAATCCAAAGCCACTGGCTGCTGGCAGACAGCGGAGTCTGGGAAGATGATGGAGTACGGCGGTAGGTCACAAAGTGTCCCGAATGCATGTCCCCATGGTGGACCACGACAGCCATTAAGCGGTACACGTAGATGGGGGAACTACCAAAGGCAAGAGAGAGGCAGGGGTTCATTCCACATTCATCCTTCCCTCTAAACGTCAGAGGGGAAGCAAGCAGACCGTGCCTCTTTCTAGCAACTGCCTAAATTCACGGCACAATAGCAGGTACTCTGTGCGTTGCTGCAGCTGCCTTGACAGCCATGCTGGGAGGGCTGGATCCAGACAGGGTGGGATTTCATCAAAAGGCTGTACAGAGGAAACCCAGGGGTTTAACGGGCATGCTCAACAGCACATGGAAGGTGCAGATAGATGGTATTTTACAGGCTGTTCTCTAACCCTAACCCTAACCCTAACCCTGAGAAAGTCTGGCAGCAGCCCACGCTGTTTTCACTTACCCACAGCCAGGAACGGCAACGTAAGGGAAACCAACGGAGGGAGGCAGTAACGCAGTGCAGCAAGTGCCGTTGGTGAGAACGGACTTGCTGTTTCCCGCTCGTTCCCCATCTGCAAAAACAAGGAAGCTGATCCTGGGCGCCTCTGGGCCCCGGAGGGCTAACGCATGTGAGCAGCCAGGGCTTGCCATGGGGTCCTACCATCCTCGGTGTCTGGCTCTGCCTGCAGACCCTCCCTGGGGCTTGACTGATGGGTGGGGAAGTGCTGCTTGTAGAGATCCATGATGAGGAACTCGCTGAACTGCACGTGCTCATTCCGCTTCAGGGGCGAGCCGTGACTGGACCAGCTCAACCGCTGCAGGTGGATGCAGAGACACTGAGGGAGCTGGAGAGCAAACACGGAGTCAAAAGGGAGAAGTGGGAATATGGCAGTTTCTGGCAGTACAAGGCACTCCCACTTGCAAGCTAGCTGAAACTGCTGCCTCTTCAGACGTTCCTGGGGCCACACGGAATTGGTGCAAAATTTCCCAGAGAGTGGATTAAGAGGTCAGCCTGCGACACTGGTTGGTCCTCTGCAGACTACAGGTGGGTAGTCCTCACAGAGGAAAACAAACATGAATCCGGGGAAAGTGAGCTTGTCAGGGACAAATGTTAGCTTCAACTCCGTCTTCATAAAGGATCTGAACCCTGGCCTTCCCAATCTGCCACAGGAAATCACCTCTCCCCTCTCCCCCTCGTTATCACCTTCCATATCTAACATCTGCAGATACGAAGTGAGACAGAGAACAGGGTATTTCCTCTGCAGAGTTTTCAGTATTACGCAGAGAGAGAGAGAGAAACAGTGCCCTTTTACCATCCCGGTGCACCCACAAGAGGTCTACACACCCCAATTCTTACCTTTCCTAACTTTAACTGTTTAACAAATGTGGTTCTCTGGTGCTCCCCAATTTGGCTGCCCTCAGTTCCTTCTGCCTGAATCTTGTGGAAGGGGATAGAAAACAAAAAGAAAAACTGATTTTAAAAAAGCTGTTTAACCAAGCAAGAAGGAATTGAAAATTACAGGTTTTGGAATTGTAGCAATATGCACAATTTCTTCTGGATGCTCAGGGGTTCTGCTGTGCGACCAAGACATGATTCACACAGGAATTAGGCCAGTGCTTTGCTTAGCACTGTCCACCATTCACACGCCAGCCCATCTTGCACACACTCAGCTGGATCCTCTGTCAGGCGTTACTTGTTGCTGGGTGGGCAAACCAAGAGCTGAGTAGCAAGACCAAAAATCACTTGCTACATTCTCTTGGCATATGCTGATATCGCGAGGATGCTACTTTTACATCTGTGTGCAAATTGGTGCGCGAAATGCAGAACATACAGATCTCCACCACACAACCCCAAACTGGAGGGTTCCATCAGAAGACCTACTTTGGTACAATTGTCACATACGACATCCTTGACTGACTCAGAGGAGATGAAGTGGCGAAGGCAGTGATCCAGAGTCAATGGGTGGCCCTGGGGACAACAGGAGGAAACACAGCAAAGGTCAGGAGCTGGGTAGATTCGTGAAGCGCTGCTGTGGACCTGAGAGAAAAAGGACTTACCCACACGGTGGCTGGGATGCTCAAGGAAAGGCTGTCAAAGGTATCGTACCTGAGGGGACTCTAAAAGAGAAAGGCAGCTCTGGATTCCGCTCCGAACACCTTCCCACCTCCCAGCAGACAGGCCATTGATGGAGAAGCACCTCTGTTGCCAGGCCCTGCCCAAGTCGAACAGTTCCGTGCCAATCCCTCTAGTCTGGTGGATCCCAGAAAACCACTCTCAGAAAATTTAGGCTCTTGTGCCCAACCACCACCCACTGAGGAAAACGCGAAAGGTTACCCAGGCAATAAAGCCTGCTTGCAAGCTCTCTTCTCTCTGCAAGGAGAGCCCAGTGCCTCTGGATCCTTGCTCCTTGCTCCAGCCTACACATTTCTGCACAGTGGATGGGGGAGAGTCTGGCTGGGTTTGCACACTTCCACTAAGCCATTAGATGTTTCTATCATGGGTTGTTGAAGAAGCCACAGTAGCCTGGTTCTAGGGTACAAAGTGTGGTGTATAAACGATGGTGGCTGGGTTCACGTGCTGTGCTGAGCTCAGACCAAAGGAGCCACAGCAGAGCTGAGCTGAGCATGACTGCAAAGCTGGTCCTTTGGCACCAAATGTTCCCATGGGAGAGTCTGGCTCTGAGAAGTCTCATTCTGCCCTCAGAACAGACCAATCCAAACCTTCCGGGGAGTGGTTCATGCTTCCAGAACATCCCACCAATTCCTGCTCCAGGCAATCCACTTCTGTAGATGCACAGACCAGCCAGGAAGAAAACAAGACATTCCACGTGGTGGGAACTGGCTCGCCCCCATAACACCTTTTGAACATCTCTAGAGATTGGTCTCCAAGGAGTTGCACTTATTTCTCTTACATACCTGGTGCTTGCAGTGCTTGCAAACCATGTTACTTGTCAGCCTCCCATGAAAAGGATGCTGACATTTCCAACGATTTGGCACAGGATGAAGCGGCCCTACAAAACACAACTCGTTGGCCACTATCTGATTCTTAACATTTGGAAAAGCAAACAGCTCTATTATTTCCATGAATCATTGTACCACTTTAGAACGTGCATAGAAATGCCCAAGTATATTTCGTTCTGGGTCTCAGATAAAGCCCTGCTTTTCCCCCTATCAAACAAAAGAACTAATTCCTGACCAAGCACATTTGCTGACAAACACTAATTAAATCTGATATATTACAGCAAAGCCAAGTGGCTGGAAATAACAGCAGGGAATTCCAGTGGGGGAACCGTTGTATAATAAGGCTACTAACCCTATTATATTTCTTTTTGCATTTCAGGTATCTTAGCTTTTACAAGTATAATGTGTAATAATGAGCCACGTTTTTTAAAATTATTACCATGCTGTGACATCACACTTTCTGTTTTTTATGTTGTTTCTCAATCTTATGATCACCACAGTGTAAGAAGCTCGCTGGATGAGAGTTTGTGGATCTAGAATCCAGTGTCTTACTTCCAGAAATGGGTACCCTCAGGATGTTTCCAGAAAATCAACAAAAGAGGCATCTAAAGTTTGCTGGGGTGCCAAACTAGTCAGATATTACCGCTTGCAATCTGAGATCACAAGGTGAAATTTTTGCTCAAAGGATTTTTCCCATTTCATCAAGTTAAAAAGGCTTTTTTACCTCTTGTCCTGCAGCATATTTGTTCTTGGGGTATTTCTGGCTCCTAGATGGGAAAGATAACAAATACAGTTTGTTAATAAAATAGGCCAGAAACATCAAGCCTTTTGACTGTTTGCATTTTTGTCTTGGAGAGTTAAACACTATGAAGAAAGATAAAATGCATCCCTCCTCAACCCTGTGTAGGCTACTGAAAAATAAGTCTTCAAAAGTTCAAGAGGGCATATGCCCAGGCAGACAATTGGCCTAAACTGTACTTTGATCCCTCTTCCAATTCTAGTTGTACTTCTTAGCCATTCTATTTCACTCACCTCCAGTGAATGCACATCAAATAAATGTGGAACCTGCGCCTGACCCTCTCGTTCTTCTTCCAGTGAGGAAGTGAGAACATGGAACAGTTCGTGAGCATCCTAGCAAAAGCAAAAAAAAGGTGATTGGGAAATTTAGAATGGCAGGTCAACAACAGCAGGAAAGCTGACTGCCACAAACAGGGGAGAAGGCAGTTCTCGCTCCTGCTTTTATGTGCCCAGTACCAGGGACCAGACCTTCAGTGGGTAGCTATTGAGAAGCTGAGCAATGTATGGCATCACCTTACTTCTTTTCAATCACTACCTGCTCTTCAAACGAGGAGATCTGCCAGCGATACAGCCTTAAAACCTCCAACAAGCAGCTTGCATCCAGGAGGTCGTCCTCCATTGCCTCTTGGCAGGATAAAGCTGAAAGCGACCGACAGCCCAAAGAGTTAATGTAGGCTCCAGAAAAAGCGAACTTATTCTCTTCCCAGTCCTAGAGCCTCTGATTCTAGAGAAAATGTTTTATGCTTGCGTGCTTTGAATGGTCTAAAGAGTGGGAAATCTTGACACTGAGGCTTGAATGCAGGCCCCTTACCTGCCCTGCCATCATCGACTGGCAGAGTTGGCACATAGTTTTCTACAAATTTCAGGTGAAACACATATCCCCTTGTAATGCTCCTCAAATGGCATCATTTCTAGCGCTGTGTTCTACTGCTACAATCCAGTTTCCTCTTTCATAAGGCAAAAAGCTCTGTGCCTGTTTGCTAGGTAATCCAATGAACAGCGCCAGGAGTCAAAGTTTAAAATAAAGGAACTGCCCCTCTCAGAAAAGTGGCTTGTTCTGTACTCCAGGGAGACAGCCACACCACCACCACCCCCAGGTTACTGCAAAAGCATTCTTACCTTTCAGCAGGCGAAGCAAGGTCAGCGACAGGGACTGCTGTCCGGCTCCCCGGCTTTGGCCGGCCGGGCCCTGACCTGTGAATCCTTCCAGCCACTGAATGAGAGAAGGACACGCCGACAGCCCTTGGAGAAGAGAGTTCATGAAGCACGTGTTCCCCAGATTAAGCAGGCCTGGCACCAGCCCTGGCGGGGGTAGAAAAGCGGTCACCACGACGTGGTGGCGTGGGGGGCGGCCCCCTTCCATTCTCATTCCGACAGGAGAAAGAGCACCTCCGCGGCCGCCCGCGAGCCCACTGCCGGGCACCCCGCGCTTCTCCTCGCCCTCCTCTCGGCGCGCCTGACGCGGCGGAAGGCCCGGGCGGAGGCCGCCGTTGCCCGGAGGGAGCTGCTGCTGCCCCGCGCGCTCCTCACCTTTCCTGCGCCTCCTCCTCTCCGCCGTGGGGCCCCAGAGGACGTAGAGGCTGGCGGCAAAGGCGGCGGCCACCCCGCCGATGACCCCCCAGTTCCGCATGACCCTGGACCTGAGACAGGGAAGGAGGCGTGAAGAGGCCCCTCGTGCAGCCCGCGCCGCCTCGGCCTCCCCGGCCCCTCGCAGGGGTCCCAGCCGGCGCGCCTTCTGGGAGTTGCAGTCACGGCCCCCGGGCTGCCCGTGGCGAAGGCTGGCCATCCCGCAGCCGGGCAGCCGCGCCCCGGAGGCCCCTCAGCCCAGCCTCCCGCTGCCCGCAGGGATCCGCCGGCCGCCAGAGGAGCATTTCGCCCCGCAGGCGCTCGGGGAGACCCGCTCCGCTCGCCAGCCTGACCTGGCCGAGCCCCCGGCCCGAAGGAGCCGCCGGAGCACCGTCGTCGCCTGCTCCGTTTCCCACCCGCCGAAGCGGCTCAGCAGCATCCCCGGCCTCGCCTCGCCCCGCAGGCGGAACTGAAGGCGCGGGTCGCGCGGGGAAGAGTTTCGGGAGGAGCGGAAGCCGCCGAGCTGAGTTCTTTCCCGAGGATCTCGTAGCAACG